TTAAACATCCTGCAAAACAGAGAAAATCGAAACAATAACACCGAAAACCAAAAGCAAAAAATCAATATACGTAGAAAATTCAGTTGACCCAAATGAAGAAAATATTGTTTTCAAAAACTGTATCTGACTTAGGACAATGAAGTAGGGTTAAAATTGCCCTACAACATTCTAACCTTCCACTTCGGTAGAAAATTTATACATAAGCGGGTAAGAAAAAAATTGAAGAAAATAAACCATAATTGAAAAATACTTAGCTCCAAAATTTTCGTATGCAGTATATATATATATATATATACCACAAATACACTAAACTATGTTTTCAAATTGAAATTTTAGTGTTATCTTTTACCAGCAATTTGACAACACAACCCCAAATTAGTTTATTTCACAAACAATATTGTTGTTATCAATGCAACTCTTACAATACACAATGTAATACACATTTTGCAAAATCCAAACTAAGGAAACAGTAATTTCTGTTTTGAATGTTTATGTATTTTAAAATAACAAATGGTTAATTATACGTTTGCATTGTATACTGCGTTTTATTAAGAATAGTTCTCTCATTCCGTTTCTGAACTTTAAATAACAGAGCAAAAAAGAAACCTTAAAGTCCTCTTTAAATAATTATGTCTTTTAATGTTGTACTCGGAAAACATGACAAGAAAAATAAAAAAAATAATAAAAAACGTGAAAAACATTAGTTCTATCTTTAAAAAAAACCTTTAAATTCTACGTTGCAGCAACCAGCCAAAAGTAGTCTGTCATCGTTTATGACGGATACGAAGACCTTTTTTCCAGTGAAAATGGCATGAGTTTGAACACTAAATCAAAAAAAGGTGGAAACATCAGCCTTAAAAAAGAACAATCTCCGGAAAGAAACAGTCGAAAGGAAAAAGTAACACGTCTTAAGCACAAAATGAAAAAAGTGTGGAGTTCTTTTTGGTACAGACAGGTCGTATATTTTGAGTTACATCATACTTAATGATGTGCGTTATGATTTGTTGCAAACTTCCTACCTTATAACTTTGTAACATACATCATTACTATCAGAAGCTTAGGATATAAGAGAAATAAGTTTAATTTTTAAAAAAATAAATACAATGTAAATTTTATGTTAAAACCTTACTCTAAGACTATAAAATTCTTTAAAAATATTTTTCAAATAAATTATCCTATTTTTTTTTCAAAAATATAAAATAAGCACTATTAAATTGTTGCATATATTTATTTTGTTTCAGAGAAATTCAATTGAAAACGATGTACCTGAAAACTTATATATACACAGTTACTACGTATTTATATTACTTTTGAAGAAGGTCACGGTGCAAAAGGAAAAAAAAATGTTTAAAAAAATCCCCAATATAAAACTTAAAATTCAACAAACTGTGAAAAGTATCAAAATAAATCTAGTAGGGACATTTTATGTTGTTGATTGAATTCATATCCCTCAGAAGTCATGCAATAAGAAGTGGCAAAGCTGACTGTTATATTGTAAATCGCAGTCTACTAAAAAGCAAATACACATTAACTGGTAAATAATTTATCTACTTTTTACAGCATGTTGACTAAGAAACTTATTTAAAATGGATGTGCACATTACCTCTATAATATCTACAATCTTCCTTTTGAGATCTCGCCTGCTAGGTGACGTGGTTGGTTTGTCACTGGCCTTTAGCAACAAAGGTTGCCTGTTCGACCCGGCCCAAGTCGGTGGATTTTCATGATGCAGAAAATCGGCAGCTTCCACGTCGTATGATTATATGGCATCTAAAAGATCCATAGAATGTCTGTATGGCTTGGGTGTTCTTGGCAAAATTAAATCCTTGTACAGGTTCGCATCATTAGAGCTCAGGTGCTACCCTCTGTGGAGGAAAATGGGCATCAAAATTTTCTGCGGCGTTTGATATCTGCTTATAGGGTGCCGTACTTAAAAGCGATACCAGATCCCGAGGAATGTACTAAGTATGCAATGGTGAAACTTGGATCCACACCTAATTAGAAATATTTAAAAAATCTTTTGAGGTCTCTCGATAATCTTGGAGGGAAAATTCGAATCTCTAACTGAATAATACTGCTCAAATCAATGATTGAATTATGTGACTTAGTTTTGCCACATCGAATCTATGACTCAAATGTATTACTCGAATCTATTACTAAACTTTAATATCGAGACTTGTGACCTTTAAATATAAGATTGTTTTCTGAGAAAGGTCATAGAGCCTCTGAACACATTTTTAACAAAAATATTCCTTCATATTAATTCGTATTACTATAATATCTATACATTAATAATTTCTTTCTTTGCTTTTTAAAACTTTAAGAGTATCCTTAAATATTTAACGTTCTGTTTAAGAAAGTAAAATACAAAATTCATTTATCATTACAGTACAGGAGAGAAAGTATGCAATACGTTATATACAGGAATACCTACAGAATTATTCGCTTATAGCTGATCCCGATATATTGTGGTTAGTAATTTGAATAATAAATTTCGTTCAGTGCTGATTGATTCACTATCATGCGGTCTGGAAAGGTTTTGCACCAAATTACTCGTGTCAAAATAATACTGCCAAAGTGAACGCTTCCGTTTTGTCAAGGCCAGACACTATGGGATATCTGGAAACCAGAGTATTTCTTACATATACAGCCCATATTTATGAAATATCGCTCGTTACTACAGTGATTACCCCGATTAAGTACTTACCTGATTAAGACGAAATATCGGTTGACACGAAATAATGCAACGATCCGAACCAGCTGCTATGTATTTACATGTACTTTTTGCCCTTAACACGAAACAAAATTCGTTTAACACGAATTTTTTTTTTTGAGAATGAAACGATAAACACTACGAAAAACACTAGACACTTTGTGAAATGTTTGAGAAAGTTTCTGTAGAACGACTGCCCTTCTGTATCATAGGAAAAATTCGTTGCAGTAGATGAAGATAATGTATGTACAGTCCCAATTATACGGCAGATAAAGACATTGGCGTTTGATCAAAGCTCAAAAAAATATTGATGCAGATTCCGATGACGAAAATGAAATGAAAAATGCAGCTCCTGTTCCCACGGCATCCGAAACGAAGAACATCGTAAGAAAGTATGAGCAGTTATTTAAACGCAAATTCTAATGGTGAATTGAATAACAAAAAATATGACATCGAACAATTTGTTGAAAAAAAGGACAATGCTAAGAAAAGATTTAGATTATTTTCCCAAAACTCAATTAAATGCTTTGCTTTTCAAAAAAACTTGAAAATTTTTCACTACATTCAAGTACGTTCTGGTAAATGTTTATGTTTCATTGATTTTTATTAAATATATGCGTATATGCACACACACCTATTTAAATAAAATGTACTTTTATAAACTTTATTTTGTTGAATATATGTATTTTTTGCGAATATCCCTCAACACGAAAAAAATATTTCAGTCCTCTCAGTTTCGTGTTAAATGATTTTCACTGTATTGAAGTGCCCTAAGTCACTCTCTTTCCAATAAATAAATAAAAAAGAAAGAAATGAAAAGAAAAGAAAATATATACTGTAAAACCTGGCGTATAACACAAATTTTCAAAACATAAAAAATGAGATCGAAATTTACCGGGTACAAAAAAATGATAGTTTCAAAAATAAAAAAAAAGATGAGCATAAGGAAAATTAGACTTCTACATAGATCGGAATACTGTTTATTTGAATGAAACGATATTTCCAATGAAATTAATAGATTCTGATTCCAAAATATACAATTTTTTTTAAATCTTGGAATAATACCTGAAAAGGCTTAAAAAAAAGCAGCATTGTACACTCGCATTTCTCGCACTTTTGTAGAAATGGGGGTGCTCGTTATACGGCGAATATACCTAAAAAATTTTAAAAAATGCAGCTTTAAAGTATGGGGGCGCGTTATACGCTGGTGAGCACTGTATAATGGATTTTATGGTAATATCATTCCTAAACCCATGCTAGTGAATAAAAAACAAACATCTGACGGAAATTGTGGTACAAAACAACATACATACGAAATTTACAAAAACAGTTTAAAATTATCAAAATGAGAGAATGAGGATAATTAAACGCCAAGAAATTTGAAAAATGAATTAATTTTCGGTTCATTTATTCAATTTTATTCATTGCTTTTATGAATTTTGCACTTTTAATCCTAAAATGGATACAATACCAGTATGTGTTGAAAAATTTTGACATGATTTAGACTTAAATTGATTGGATGATATCTGGGAGTGTATTCATTGTAAATGATGACATATCTTTCATCAGCGTCAAGAAGAATATTAAACTGAAAAAAATTCACAGAAACAAAAGGTTTAGATTGAATGGCCTTGCAGAATTATTTAATGTTATTGGAAGAGCATGTGAAATAAGTGATTTAAAAATGATCTGTATTATCTTTCTCTATTATTTTCCTTAATATCTCTCAGAAGAATACGTCGTGCTTAAAGGACCAGAACTTTATCTTTTCTAAATACAGCAAAACCAATCCCAGTCCATTGGTCTAAAAATCAACGATATAATTATCTATCCCTATTCAGTCTAGCGCCTTCGCGATCCAAAAAAAAAAAAAAAACCAAAGTACACCTTTACCTCTGTCTGTCCCGTTCCAATGCCAATAACCTTATTTCCACAAAATAGTAATCTCTCCTGCAGGTGCGGAGAATGGCTCAAAACACTTAAAAATATACCGCCACCGATAGTCAGACACTACATGATCTAAATGGAAAGTAGCTGTGTAAAAAAAAGTTTAAGGTCAACACAGAAACATTTTAATTTAGTGTTTATTAAATAGTTACAATTAATAAAAATGTATATACATATGACAGAATCACAATATTAAGTGGCAAAATAGAAAAGGGTTTTCGTTGCAATTTTCCATTTTCCTTTCTGTATATGATGTTGGACTATTTTTGTCTGTTTGTTACTATTTATTCATTAATAAAATAGTATAGTCAAAATGAAATCACATGCGCATAAGTTAGGCCATTCCAGGTGGGATTCGAAACCATCACCTTTGAATTAGTTGTCCAATGTGCTATCCATTGCGCTACAGGAACACAACGAACGATTTGCCTTTCTATATATATTGTTAAACTATTATCTTTGTTACTATTTATCCATTTTTTGATTTAATTAATGAATTAATATCTGAAAAAAAACTATATTAACATCAAGTGCTATCCACTACAAGTTTTAAGAAAATTATTTGAACTTGAATGGAAGAATAGAAAGTATTTTATTAACGGTTGAAAATTTGAACAAGATATATATATATATACATATATATATATATGTAGAGAGAGAGAGAGAATGAGTAGTAGGAATTGAAAAAAGAAGTCTTTGAGCAAAGTGAAAATTAGAAAATAATATTCTATGTTATTGAATGGATGCACGAAGGGGAAAAAAGGGGGGATTAGTGCAAAACGCTTTGGATGATTTTATAGGGAAGAAATAATTTTTTTCTTTTTCTTTCTTGTATACATTAAGCAATATAAAACTATTCTATTATTTTTACTTTATATCTTCATTAGTTTCAGGTAAATATATGAGAATTTTTGTTTAACAGAACTTGATATGAACTAATTATTTATTTTCCTTATAGAAATATTGCGTCGCAAGTTATGATCCATTCATGCAGTGGTTAAAAGCATTGGCTCTTAAACTGTGGTCCGCTGACCCAGGGGGACCCCATCGCCTTTCTAGGGGGTCCACGAAGGTCTCTCATGAAATGTTAAGATTTTACTCTTTTACAGACTCTGAAAGGCCACTTGGAAAAATTGACAGATATGTCATCCTTGACTAAATTACTAAATTGCCTTCAATGAAAAAACTTTACCAGAAGGTATATTACCAGAGTATTAATGCAGTTTTTTTACGATTTCCAATTACATAACATTTAGTATAACGTAGTTTTTAAAAAAAATATGGTAAAAACATATAGAAGGGTTAAAAAAAGTCTGTATAATTAGTAGAGGCAATCTTAAAATTATCGATGAACCTTCAAATCATTCAGCCATGTACTGGAAGTCTTAGAGGGATTTATTTTCTAAGAGGGATGTTCAGAATCTTGGGAGGAGGGGTCGTGATTTTCGGCTGATATATGAAGAACTGATATTGAAGAGATATTGAAAGAACTGCTGCTTTGGAGTTATTAATTAACAGTACTAAGTGAGGTATTTCTTGTCCTAAATGCATGGACTGTTCCAAACAGAAATGGGTAGTGGTATAAAAGAAGTATACTGAACATAAAACAGCGGAATCAAAATGTTATATTGTTGTCGAAGGAATTTATAAGCTTTCCCATTTAATGTCGTATTCTATTACATTACATGAAGATAGCTTTACCAATTATGGCTCTTAATAGTTTATCGAAGGAAATGTTTTCATTCCTATTATGTTTAAGGGGTTTGAATAATCAAATATATTAACTGTTTTTTATTTTTTTTTCTCTGGGGCCGTGGGTAGCCTAGTGGTTAGAGCATTGGACTTCAGACCGGAAGGCCTGGGTTCGATGTCCGATGCCCCCAAATGCCCACCGAGTACAGACGGAGAACGTGCTCATTAAATCAGTGGGTCCGAATGGTGTCGCCATCTATCGTGTTGTACCGAGCAAAATCGCACTGTCACCTTCATGGGGGCCCAAAGCTTAGGGTAACGACAGGTGTAAAATTCTAGCCCTTAGCCGCGATGAATTTCGTGGACCTTGATCTTATGTTACTGTCAACCAGGTGGCATAAGCAACAGCAACAACATTTTTTCCCCTTTTTTTTCTTTTTTTAAATTTAACAAAACTACTCACGCACGCATTTTGAAATTTAAAGACAACTAAAAAAAAATTGCGAATTCAAGTATCATGCGTCGATATTTTCATTTATTTTTTTATAGAGACAAAGATTCTTCAGGACTATTTGATTCATTGAGGTCTTCTAAGATAAAGTAAAATTTTTATCACTGAGAGACACATGAGAAAGAATTTTTAACCTTAATACTTCGAGCCTCCGATTTTTTTATAGGTGAACGAAGTCATCAACTACTAAACTAGAGTCATTCTTCATGAAAAGCTCTTCATCCCTTATTGAATTTCCTGAGGGAAAATTCTGTCTTTTCCAATTAAAGAGGATGAAGATTCCTTGATCCATTTGGAACGTGTTTCATCTGTATTCGGTGCCGTTTCATAGTTCTCCTTCACAAATATGTTAAATTTTTATTTTATTTTTTAGTCTTTCCATTAATTTGAAATTACAGCCTTACAAATTAAACTTTCTTTTCTGTGTTGTTTGAAAATTAAATAAAATAAAGTATACAAAACTTAAATATTTGTTTCTTTCTGAGGAAAAAGAACCCGGAATTTATCTCTTCCTACATGTATTAGCAATTAATTATACATGTATTAACTAGGTCATTAAGTACCAATATGCAGATGCAGATATATTAATGTATTGAGGACAAGCTACAAATATGGCTAAATTATTGTTGCTAAAAAATCATTGTAATTCACAATTATTTGTGCTATAATATTTTATTATATGAAAAGTTTGAAGATAGACATATGTATATTTATTTACTATTGACTGTAATTCAACTGAAAGTTCAATAGTCTATAGTAGTTTTGCAAAATATAAATTATCTATTCCATGCACAATTCAAGTGATAGGTTTAAACAAGGATGTTTTAAGGCATAGGTCACAACTAGTACCGGGCACGGGGTCTCGATCTTGAAGGAGGAGGAAGGTGATTGTCTCGTCCTCAATCCAGAATCAATAAGATCATAATCCAAGTTATTTTAATGGCCAAAAGTTATTCACGGACATATACGAATAACTGAGAATTTCAATCTGTTTATGGGAAACGATAATGCACTGTTGCCATTTCCTGTCCGTTGTCCATGTATAGGATTCAGCCTACCACCATACACCATCCCTACTTATTTAATCAAAAGGTTGCAGTTGATAGTGTCCGTTTTGTCTAGACAGTTTCTGGTTTGTGAGTCATGCACATTAATTTGTGTCGAGTTACCATTATACGAGTATTTGGAAATGTATGCAATGGTGTTACGGAAAATATTAGCCCCCCCCTTTTCATGAAAGACAGGTTTTCGGCCCGAAGCCGGATCTTACAAAAGGTACATACTTGGCGTCAGCCAGGTTTTGGGCCCCTAGAATCCTAGTCCTCCCTGCAATGCGGGGGTGTACGTTACGCTAACGGACGTATGCTATGTACTACCTAGTTCAAACGGTTGCCGGTGGGGCGTACTCCTACATGGAGGCCAAGTGTCTCAAGGTGTCTTAAGAGGTCACTTGTGGTTTGAAGATGAAAACTTACAAAATAAATTGATGTGTTTCAGAAAGGAGTAATAATTAGCTATAGTTATGTGTTAGAACACCTACGGCAGCGCTTTAAATGTGATCCAACCATGGAAAACAGATGAAAGCCAGTACCTTCTTTTGTCAATAGAGTTATTAATTTCCAAACAGAAATGAGTTTTTGTTGCTCCACATTAGTATATTTTACCAACGAGAAGTAAACTTACTTAATTTTGATGTATTTGTAGCGTATCTCAGTGAATCAGCTAAAATAAATTTATTTCACCATTTATCTTAATGATTTGGAAAATAGTAAGTACTAAATAATTCCAATGAAAATCACCTTTGCAAAATAAAGCTAAATTAGTGTTTTAAAAATTATCGAGTGTTTAAAATTTGCTCTGACTTGTAGTAGACCGAGAAGAAAGACGCATTAATAAAAGAAGATTCACGAGGAATGTGTGTGTGTGTGTGTACATACCAGAGCTGATGGATGTAGTTGAAAGTGGAACACCTAAGCTGAAATAACAGCTGTTATGGTTTCAAAATACGAATTCACTTAGTGTTTGTAATTTTAAGTGCAATTCATAAAGGTGATAAATTTCCAAACAGTTTTCTACGTCCTGTAAATCTGGAAGTGAATTGTGTGATAATTACTGCTTGTGGCAAAGATTTTAAAAGTAATTACCTGTCTAACAACAGAACTCAGAAGTGATGAGTGCATTTTCACGTTGCAGCATGTCATTTCAAAGTCACTAATATGAAAAATTAACGCGTGTTAGAAAACGTTGATAATTCGAGTGTCGTTTCTGGGAAATCCATAGAATCCGGTAACTAAGTTGACTGATAACAGCAGTAATTGACAGTTCCTCAAAGTTTCTCTTATATTTTACAATGGTAATTAATGAACTTTCTTATGCTTTCATTAATGAATATTCTTAGTTTAGAGACATAATAGGTGGAAATAAAACGATTTATTGTAAATGATAAATAAAAGAAAGTATTCAGATGGTGCATGTGAAAAGTAGAATTTTCATTACATGTGAACGTTTGTCTCCTTGTTTTGTTAATGCTTTTATTTTTGACATAATCATATTTATAGTTGTACTCTCCATTGTCTGAGTAAAATTTCAATGAAAGAGTTTTCTAAAAAGTGCTCCATTTTGTTATTTGTTTTTAATTTTGGAAGGATGAGTGAATTCAACCGATATACGCGTATAAACTTGGTAATAATGCTGCAGAAGCTGAATGCATTATAAACCAGACAACGGGAGAGACTACTGGTAATGATTTAAAAGTTACAGCTTTGGTTTCACAGTTTCTGTCTGGTGAATTTTTCCCTGCAAAATGAACTACAGGGAAGATACAAAATGTTTCTGAACAATAGTTAGCTGAACGCATTTGGGGAAGCAAATCCAACTGTATCTATTATAATGCCAGTCCATTGATGGAATGCATGAAAAATCAAAAATATACGTCCATCACTTGTTAATCGGCATAGCCAGTACTTCATCGCTAAGCCAAAATGCGTCGTACAAAGCAACTTATAAATTAAATGAATAAAAATATGAAATTTTGTAGCACCCAACTGATTCACTGGATTTTTCGCCAACCTATTTCCATATATATAAACAGTTTTTATGGGCGAAACAGTATAAAAATTAAGACAGCCTGAAAAATTCCATACAAGAGTTTGTAGATTCCAAAGATCAGAATTTCAATAAGACAGACATATATCCATTAAAATCTCGTTT